AATTGCATAAGTGGTTCAATTCTATTATGAAATATGAAAACTGGAAGATGGAGTGCGAAAACTCGTCCAGCCACCTACCTCATGACAGTGTAACTCGTCCTACTGCGCGCAAATCATGGTTTCACCAAACAAAACTCTCCAAAAAAATAGGCAGATATAGGGGGGCCTGATTCGAGAGCTTCGCCTGACAGTCGTAGCTTCTCGGCTCAGTTCTCCCTATATTTGCCTGGTTTTCAGATATCTAGCGGGAAAATTCAGATGCTCACCACATATTCCGCGGATATCTTCATCGCTGCCGTCATAGCAATCCCATCGACCATCACAGACCTTGCCGATGTCAATGCAGATCTCCGTATGTTTGCACATAAACTGCGTTTTCTCGTCGCATTTTCCAGCTTCTTTTGAAGGATTTTCTGGAAATTGTGTAATTCCAATTCAGAACCTATTTCTAAGGAAAAAACCAGATGAAAAAATCGGAAAAATTGAATGGAATTGAAGAATCCTGAACTGAATCAACATAGCGACTATCCTTTCGAGGTAAAACTTAAACCTTAAATCAGAACCAAAGAGCACAATGTGTTCAGTGGATATTGATCGAAAGGACCAAACGACACATTTTGGCCTAGCGGCCCGCGCCAGACTCAAAACTTGGATATTTTTCTGTGAATAATCGTGAAAGCTGCAAGAAAGTGAGTTTCGAAGCGAAGTGTAGTTATTTTTCACAAACTCTCTCTCTCCCTAAACTCTATGATATAACGCATAGCCCACGTAGCATAAAATAACTAGCACAACACACCGCCAACGTTGCGACAAAAACTTACAGTAAAGGGTACCTAACAGGAGGCCCTTAGCGCGGCGAGAAGGCAGAGACGCAGACGAGCCAGCGGACGAGTCGGGCGCGTATTTAGCATCAATTGGAAGTAATATAGCATCTACATCATACAATATGCGCTGCGACTCGTTCGCTGATCTGTGCACCTCTGCCTTCCCGCCACGGCATTTTTGGAGGAAAAGAGTGGGCGGAGTCTGTAGGAATGAGTTGACAATTTAAAGGAATCTTCCACGGACCATGGACCAGTGGGCGGGACCGGAAGTGGTTTTGCGACGAAATGCATGGTAGGTACGGATCCACGTTCATGGGAAGGTTTGAAGTGAATCCTGTTCACGTTCGTGCGTTCGACACGTGGATCCGTACCTACCATGCATTTCGTCACAAAAACTTCCGGTCCCGCCCACTGGTCCATGGTCCGTGGAAGATTCCTTTAAATAGGTATTAGAGAGGAATATGGTGGTCGAGGTGTGGAAAAGGGGGTCGTACCAAGTCCACCTTGGGGGAGGGGGGTCGTAAAAATTTTTGAAAAAGTAACAACGATAGGACTGACCCTGCTCCCCACGAGCACTTCCAATAAAGTACTGACCTGTGCATTTGGTAGGATCCTTCTCATTGGTTGTAAAACCACTCGCACAGGCGCACTTCAAATTTGCGTCATTGCATTTTTTGAAAGTCGTGCAACTTCCAGGGAAACACAGCTGCTCGCATCCTCCATTGTTTTCGAGGCATTTAGAACCTGCTGAAATAATTGTTGAAAATATCGATGAAGAAATCGAAGATTCGATGAGTGTCTCGATCGCCAGCGCATGCCTCTGCCTTCGTGGAGCGTTTGGAAAGCCGCTCTCGTCGCCGCCTCTCTCTTCTACCATTGCTTCAACATACCTCTCCTTCTCCTTCCTCCTCCTCCTCAACCTTCTTCTTTCTCCGCTTTGCCGCCAAGCCGTCCACGCTTTGCTTTCGCCGTACTCTCAGCCAGAATCGCAGTCTCGGTGACACGGTCGAATGCAAATGGTTTTCTTCGAATCAATGGTCATCAACTTCTGCATATTTGTTTTAAAAAAGTCGAGCACACTATGACTGACCCACTGAGCTGACGCGCCATGCATCCACTAATTGCAGTGAAATGGACCTGATTGAAAGCAACGCAAAAAATGCAAAGGTTTTTTGGCCTGACCAGTGATTTTGATCCACCGAGCTTATTCAGTGGTACTCAAACTATAATATTTCACAAATCTTGACGTCAAACCATCAGGAAACCTTTCTTTACAATCCACCATCCCCTCCTCCTCTCCCGCCACCCCCCCCCCTCTCCCCCGATGGAACTCAATTGCAGCGGCCCTCCTGACTGTACCACATAGTTTGGCCCTGAACAGGCATATCTTACAAGTCTACTTACGAATTGGTCTCCTCTCGTACAACTGTAGCTGAGAAGCAACTGGCAGAGAATCAATCGTTTGTATGTCAAATGTGCCGTCAGCTTTCGGAGTGGCTCGTTGAACGCCCCGCTCCTATAATCGATTTTTTTCAACAAAAAAATTAAAATTCCAGTATCCAGTATGTTTCAAAATCCACACCAAATTAGGAAATCAATGAACGAAAAACACGGAATCAAGTTCAGAGGAAACTCACGTCGGACCAGAAGATTTGACCGGAGAGTACGGTAAAGGTGCGTAACGTACGAGCGACGATTGGCAGTTTCTAAAAAGTACTTCGGTAAACAAGTCGGTCATTAGGGCCTAAATTCAAGTAGCTATCGAGTTTATCTTACGAGTATAAAGTGAGAAAAACTGTGTAAGTAGGACCTCGGCAGATCTGGTCAAATCGGAATGGCGGGTGAGGGGCGGGATTTGCGGGTGCGAGCGGATGCGGTGCGGTTTCAAAGAAGCATCTCAGGATGTTACAGAAAAGAAGTTGAAATGTTGAAAATGATAAACTATTATATTGTAGGATAATATCGGAGAATTCAAAATTCAACAACATTGACCCAATCGAAAAAGGTCGCGCTAGCCGCACCGCGACAGCACGCGGCCATTCTGTCACAACACGTATGATTGTTTCTGCGGACAAAGCTGCAGACATGCTCAACGTGGTCGAGCAAACTAATGTGGCCATGGTCAACAACCATGCAAACTGTTTGACACGAATCCTCCTCGTTGCGCTCAATGGCAGAGACGCAGACAAATGGTGCTCTGTTTCTCACGTGTCTGCGCATGTTCAGTTCCCAATGATATTTACAAAATGTGCGATCATTAGCACAACACGCGTTTGTGCCGGTTTCGTTGATTTTCCACTGTCCCAAAAGTCTAGCACCAGCGCACCTCGTTGTCCTCGCCATCGTAACCGGAGCGATGCAGGGTGAACTCGAACGGGTCCAACCAGTAGACTTTTCGAGCAGAGACATCCAGAGCCATTGTTAGTGGATGGAATGAGAAGAAGCTTACCAAGACCTATAATGAAATAAATTTGATAATATAATAATAAGTCGAAAATCAATCTATAACTCACTGCTGGGTTAGGACATCCAGTTTCCTGTATGCTGTGCTGTCGAAGTTGAGTCGTACTCGAGTAGAATAAGAGCCTGATAGAAATTAGTCATAGCTATTGATTGAATGTATCGAAAGAGATTAAAAATCACAAATCAATAAATCGGCTGAAACATTAAGGCGTGAAGTCCATGAAAAAGCACCCTTTGCCTATGTTGAGGCATTCGAGAACCAAACCAATGACAGTGTCAGGACATATTGATCGATTTGTGAGCAATTATTGACCGCGCTTTTTGCCTCTATTTCATTTTCAGAATAAAAGGAAAGTTATAGGGGCATGGGGTCATTAGGAAAAGCTGCGAAAACACAGGGTGCAATGTATTCAGTGGGTGGTAATAGAGAAGACTTAACGACACATCAGGTCTAGCACGTGAAAAAATTCACTCAAGGACGCATACGCAACTATTCGAGAAACGAGAGACGTTTCGGTGCAGGACTGCAATTCAAGCGACGCGGCAAGAAAAAGTGGCATTTCTTCGTTTGCTTAGCGTCGTCAATGTGGTGTGGTGGTCTGCCAATGACGCCTATTTCTTTCGAACAGAGGGTACACAATACTTTCGCAAACAATGCCAAGGAACAAATAGCGCAGTAAATAACAATAAACACAAAAATAAAAGATAGAAGTCTGTAGCAAAATGGAAATATAAAAAATCCAACCTAGAAGACGGGTCCAGGTTTAGCGAATGCACACCGCTAACAGTTTTTGTAATTTGCAGTCGTTTCTCTGGACTCTCCGGTCGAAAATACGGTAATTCCAGCCGGCTCCACTAAATTCAGTACAAATCGATATAATCACTTAACGCTACGTATAGAAGGATGAGAATATAAAAATAAGATGAAACAGTAAAAACTCATAAAACAATAAACAATAAAAAAAATAAAATAAAAATAAAAAATAAACATAAACAAATAAAGCAGAAAAATATGAAATTCATAATAATTAGTTATGCTAACTAAGACTATACGACTAAATCGAGAGTAGAATAGAAGGTCAGACCTAGTGGGGGGGGGACCACGCGACGCGCGGTGCTTTTGTTCAGTTGTTTCCCAAAGCTTGTCCCTATGGCGCTTTTCTCAAAACGGCTATGTGAGGGCGAAAATGCTAACTGTTGGTGGGAACGCCTGTGGAAGGTGCAGACGAACACAGCGCCGGCCCCCCAACTAGTTCTTCTAAGCCCACAGAAAGTAAAACTGAGAAATCGACATAAGGTAGAGGGGTAGTACGAATGAAAGATAGAGAAATATAATGTAAAGTGAGTTAACATTTGAGTGCATCACGACTTGGGGCGAGTACGGAGTAGAGATTTCTGAGAGGTGGAGTCAAATGCCATTGCAGTCAAGTGTGGGCCTTAAGAAGACCTCATTCGGTTGAATTGTTGTGGCAGCTGAGGCTAATATCTTTGTTTATCCAGCGTTTAAAATAGAAGTGGTTTGAGTGGTTAAACGGCGCGCGCTCATGGCGCATGGTCCGGAACCGAGCTATAGATCGTACAACCCTGGCCGTCAAAAGCCTTTGTTGTCCTGACCGTGGCCACTACTTAAGGCCTAGCAGACCGCTCGAGAAGACTGTGAAAAACAATGAGTTTGTAGTTTGGTGGGTGGCCCCCCGCAAAAGCCGTGTTCAGGCAAACGAATCAACATACTACAAGGATACAGATTGAAAGCTAGAATGCATAGCCTATCCCAAAGAAGGACTGATCCAAGGCAAATGTGGTTTTCTTCTGTCTACAATCAGTGGATGACTGCCAAGTGTGGTAATTACGCTAGCTTTACGGATGACCCTATGCATAAGTAGCGCAGTGGCTCGGAGGCGCAGCGACGGTGGACGCCAGCTCAACGAATATCCTATCTTGCCCAGAAAATGCGAGCTCTACGCGATTTTGAATGGGTTATCGTGCTGCTGGATTTATCCGAAAGACCTTTTGAAACCCATATAGATCTAATATTGCCTAGCCCGCAAGTTATCGCGCGGACCTAATACGCTTTAACGCATTTCGAAAGAGAGTTGTACGCATGGCGCGTCCCCGGAAATTGATTGCGGCAAATACCTGGACTGGACTTCCTCACCTATGAATTCGAGCCCTATGACCATTCCCTTGTAAGTTCTGGATATTCTGGTTTTACACTTTTATGATACAAGCAGACCGGAATTGGTGACAGTTCTACTTCGAGCGGTCCCCTCGCGAACTCCTGACTACGGTATTTGGGGACGTACCGTTTTTAGTGATCAATGTGACATTGCCGCCGTCCAACGATCGCTTGTAGATGGATGATTTGGCATCGTCATAGAAGTAGATCTCGCTTTTCAACGAATCTACGGTGAACACAGCCCCTCCTTTTGGGGATAGGATTGACGGTATAGCTGGAGTGACCTGAAATTTATACTTTTGAATACTGATAAAGTTAAGCTGTATCGTATGTTACCGTAGCTCCGTCCGGTGCCACACGAACTCCATGAATCCATTCTGGTGACTGTCGAGAATACAGTAACAAGTCGTCCACAGTACCATTCGTCGTGCACTTTCCGTTCACAAAGACCATACCGTCCTGAAATTGGCACCGATCCAAATTCCTAGCTATTTTGGAGGCACCTTAACGGTTAGGTACTTACTGGGCAGAAACACAGCGCTGAAGAATCTCCATCGATCACGCATATACCTCCAGAACAGCCACCTTTCCGTGACGAGCAACCTTTGTCAACTGTAAAAACGATCGATAGACATATAATCAACGGAAAACGCCATGATTGAGGAAAATGAGCAGGAAAATAAATCAAGAACTAGTCAAAATATTCGTCAGAATATCCTTGAAAAAATAGAATTTTCGGGGAAAAAACTTCTTTCTAACTTTTAACAGTCAGTTATGCCTGCTATTAAACTATAAAAGGGAATTCCAACAAATAAACTTACAGTCAACCAAAAATTAGAAATCAAACTATGCAATTCCTCAACAGAGTGTGTCCGGCATACGTTTCTAGCCCGGAAACCCTTGGGTGATTAGAAGCTCACGGAGTATATGCAGCGGCAAGAGCCTAAAGGCAAAGGTCGGGCTCGATTTGGGGTATTATAGCGCTTGAAAGATGCATAATGGAACTATAGTGAAGAAAAAACGAAGAGAAACCGTCGACAAGGCTGAAAATAGAACCTCCCACTCCACGGATAGCTGGGAAGAGGGCAGGCAGCGCGGGAAGGCTGCTTCGAACGAGTTTTCGAGACAGCCAGCCATTGTTGGCTTTGTGGCAGTTGTTGATATTCCAAGTAACCCAGCCGATTTCACGCCTTACGGCAGCCATGGACCACTTCCCGCAGTGGGTGGTCATAGCTAACATGAGGCGGCGACAGCTACCATTCTCTTCCAGAGACGTCGTTACAAACATTGTTTAGACTTGCGCGCGGTGATATCTCTGTGAGTGCGTAACTACGCATGCAGGTTACGGAAGGGATTGGTTTAGTCACCTAATTCCGACCTCTGCCTTTAAGTCACTTCTCTGATCAGCCAGGAGAGATTCCTTGCTCAAGAGCAGGGTCAACCCTACGTTGGTACAAGTACCAACGGGGGGGTCGTACTTGGTTTAGCTTGGAAGGGGGGGTCTTACCCACTGTAGTCGCTTCAGCGGGCGTATATACCCCCCTAGAAAAGGAAGTAGTGGGAGTAGAGGTAAAAAATGGGATGGAATGGTGGAAGTAAGAAGGAAATTTTCCGGAGATATTTACCGTTTCAGAGTGACTATATATCTATAGACTATATAGAAAAGAGAATAATCTCTAGAAGAATGGCTACCAACCTTTCCTAGTGGTCAGATTATGGTGGACGAAGAATCCGCTAATCGGTAGATGAAAGTCGACAACTTCCACTTGTGAGGTGATAGTGTCCACACGGAGCAGATCGGCTCGACTTGGTACGTAGAGATAGTCGGCAAAATAAGTGAACGAGGTCGCGTATTTCAGCTGGAAAATCATTTTTGTTC